GGCTATTTGGAAACAACGAGAGGCTGAAATTAAAGAGCCACGGGTTAACACAAATGCCATTTACCTCGCGATTGTAGGAGGGAGAAGAAGAAGAGAATTTACGGGATCGGATCACAAGCGTCACGGTATTTATCCCATTCGGTTGGCATAAGCTCATCCTTTATATCATCACAATTACCGGATGACAATGTTGATGAGATTCACATCCGAGTATAAGGAGACTATGAAGGGAATGCGGGGAGGTTAGACGAGCAAAATTATAATATCACATAGCGAGTGAATGAAAATCTAGGGGATGGAGACTTAGATTTAGTCAATTATAGTGACATCACATAGGCTAACGTAGACGTCCCGCTTACGTACTAGTCGGGACTCCACCGTCCCTCCCTTCAAGCCCCAGAAGATGAGAAGAGATTAGATGATCATGATGAGTGACTTTTACATTTTCTTTTATGTTTTTACTCCTTTTATTAAGTACTAACGAATAATTTTTTAATATGAATTTCAATTTAATTTATAATATTTTAATTTTAGGACAAAAAAATAATTTTTATAATAAATTGTTTGTTTTAATTGTTAGTTATTACCGAGAATATTAAAAAATTTTAATTAAATTAAAAAATTTAAAAAATTTTAAAAATATTAGAGATGGATTAGTGATGAAAATGAAGATAAAAAAATAATTTTTGTTAAAAAGAAAATGCGAAAGGTAAGGTCACTAGTTAGCGATAAACTAGTGATGGAATAGCGAACCACTTTAGTATTGGATAATAGCAATAGATTTTTACTTGTTACTCGAAAGACGAGTTTAAGATGAGTTTGTGACAAAATTGCTATGTATTTTATAGTGGAAAGACGACGGTTTTGACATCCACTCATTGACGGAATAAAACGAATTAGCGACTACTAATCCTTCGTTAAGTTAGTAAAGGACACTATACATTCCGTGATAGAAGTTAGCGACAAGCGTTTTAGCAAAGGATTTTTTCGATAGCAAATTCGTCGCTAGCGAGTCTTAGCGATGGAATTTGTTGTGAGAGCAACGGATTTTTCCATCACTATTTCAGCTTTTTTTTTTTTTGTGGTAGTAGAAGTAGTTGATACACAATTTTGTTTTTTTATTCTTACCTTCCTTATAGAAATGAAACTATATTTAATTTTTATTTTAATTCTTACTAATCTTTTTTTATTTTCTTGCAGCTTTCACTTCATTCATTTCAAGCAAACATCCATAAAGCGAAAATAAAACTTTAAATTAATAGGTGGTCACTACATCTTTTTTACTCTTTTTTATCAAGAAGTCTCATATGTCGAATAACCACAATAATTTTGGTTTATTTTGACTAAATAAAATTTTATTTAAAATTTTTGAAGATTTTAATTACTTTATTATATATTTTTTAAATAACTTTTGTATTGATGATTCCAAAACACACGAAAATATTATTCAACAAGAAAAAATGTAGTAGAAACAAAATTTTATTTTGAAGAAATTATATTTAGTTTTATATATATGTGTGTGTCATGATAGAAAAGAAAGACTTTCTACTTTTAGCTATATTCTCATTAGCCACCATTTTTTCTATAAATTTTGTTTCAATTGAATTAATTATATATAAGTTTGGAGTTTATTTCATTTACACACTAAAAATATAGATCCAAATTTTTAATTATAAAAGACCTATTCCGATAGAAGAAATGGTAATTTATTTTCGAATTTTTTTCTTATTAGTTAAGTAAATAAACGAAACCATAGGCAATAAATACAGCACTTGAAATCCCCGGATTCTAACCACATTACGTCTCATCCATTCTTTTTTTTACCCTTATGCTAATGGTAATTAGTCGTAATTGACAATAATTTATAAAATACTAGTCAATTTGCCCCTTATAAATAGATCGAATTGTACTTTGTAGAATTAAGGATTGAATTGAACTCTTTTTTTTTTTTTTGAAATATTGTTTTAATATTTTAATAGTTTAAAGGATTGTTTTGGTTACTTAGGTGATTTCGTGTTAAGGTATCTAAAAGTCATCAATGAACAATATCAATGCATGGAAGAGGGATTTTTGAAAAACAAAAAAAAAATCAATTTAGTCTCTATGATTGTAAGAATACAATTTAGTCTCTTTATAATTGATTGGAGCAATTTGATCAATATTATTTATTTTGGTGTTAATCAATCAAGTTTGAAACACATGAAGTAAAACTACTAATTGCCGTCAACACAATGAGGGCCAAAATAATAATAATAATAAATAAATAAATAAAGTGATTTTCTTTATTTTATTAAAATGAAAATACGATAGAGCCATCATATTTGTATGTTAAAAAATCATCTCTTGATTTTTTTAAATAAAAAAATTATGTTTTTTTCTTCCAAAAAAATGTCTATTTTTTATTTATATTTGTTCTAAAATATTTGTGTGATCAATTTAATTTATAATATTTTAATTTTAATATAAAAATTAATTTTTATAATAAGTTTTGTTTGTTTTAATTGTTAGTTACTACTTAGAATATCAAAAATTTTAAAATTAAATAAAAACTTTTAAAAATATTGGTGACGGATTAGCGACGAAAATGAAGATAAAAAAAAATTATAGTGAATAGACAACAACGAAAGGTACGGCTACTAGTTAGTGACGTAATAACAACCCACTTGAGTATGGGATAATAGCGATTGATTTTTTATCATTAATTAGCAACGAATCTAATATGAGTTTGCGATGGAATTGCAACATATTATATGGTGGAAAGAGGATGGTTTTGGCATCCACTTAGCGATCGAATAAAACGAATTAGCGATAGCTAATTTGTCCCTAAGTTAGCAAAGGACACTCGTACATTCCGTTATATAGGTTAGCGATGAGCATTTTCGCGACATATTTTTTTTTGTAGTAAATCCATCGCTAAGTTGTTTTAACTATGGAATTTGTCTGTGATAGTGATGGATTTTTTCGTCGCTATTTTGCTATTTTTTTGTAATGGTATTAGAAGTAATTGATACACAATTTTTTTTATTCTTACCTTCCCTATAGAAATAAAATTATGTTTAATTTTTATTTTAATTCTTACTTATTATTTTTATTTTCACTTCATTCTATTCAAGCAAACATCCATAAAGTGCAAGTAAAACTTTAAAGTAATAGGTGGTCACCCCGTCGATTTAACTCTTTTTTATCAAGAAGTCTCATATGTTGAATAACTACAATAATTTTGATTTTATTTTGACTAAATCAAATTTTATTTAAAAATTTTGAAGATTTTAATTACTTTATTATATATTTTTTTAAATAACTTTTGTATTGGTGATTCCAAAGCACACAAAAAAATTATTCAACAAGAAAAAAATGTAGTAGGAACAAAATTCTATTTTGAACAATTTAAATTTAAGTGATAGTCTATATATGTGTGTAAGTCCTAATAGAAAAGAAAGACCTTTGAACAATATTGTAATAGTCTACTTTTAGCTATATTCTTATGAGCCATCAATTTGAACAATATTGTAATAGTCTACTTTTAGCTATATCCATATTAGCCATCAATTTGTCTACAAATTTTGTTTCAATTGAATTAATTATATATACGTTTGGAGTTTATTTCATTTACACACTAAAAATATAGATCCAAAATTTAATCATAAAAGACCTATTCCGATAGAAGGAATGGTAATTTGTTTTCCAATTTGTTTTCTTATCAGTTAAGTAAATAAACGAAACCATAGGCAATAAATACAGCACTTGAAATCCCTGGATTCTAACCACATTACGTGTCATCCACTTTTTTCAACCCTTGTGCTAATGGTAATTAGTCGTAATTGACCCTAATTTATAAAATATTGGTCAATTTGCCCATTAAAAATAGATCAAATTGTACTTTGTAGATTGAATTGAACTTTTTTTTTTTTGAAATATGGTTTTAATATTGTAATAGTTTAAAGGGTCGTTTTGGTTACTTAGGTGATTTCGTGTTCAGGTATCTACAAGTCATCAATGAACAATATCCATGCATGGAAGAGGGATTTTTGAAAAAGGAAAAAAATCAATTTAGTCCTTATGTTTATAAGAATACAATTTAGTCTCTTTATAATTGATTGGAGCAATTTGATCAATATTGCATATTTGGTGTTAATCAATCAAGTTTGAAACACATGAAGTAAAACTACTAATTGCCGTCAACACAATGAAGGCAAAAAAAAAAAAAAAAAAGGGTCATTTTCTTTATTTTATTAACATGAAAATACGATAAAGCCATCATATTTGTATGTTAAAAAATCATCTCTTGATTTTTTTAAAAATGATAAAAAAATCATTTTTCTTTAAAAAAAATTATTTATTTATTTATTCATATCCGTTCTGAAATATTTGTTCAATCAAAATTTCACAGTATCTTTTGATTTGTATTTTTTAAAAACATCTAATTAAAGTTTATTTTATAAAAATATTTATATATAATTAAAAAATATAAAAAATATTATATGGCTTAAATAACTTTTTAATTTATATGAAAATTTAAAGAATACAATATGTTTGGAGAAGGAGGGATTAAATACTATGCTTGCTCCTGCCCACGCATAACCCACCGCCGGATTTGAAGCTTTCAACATTTCTCCACATAACGACTTCTAGAAGTCGACCACCACAAGTCATTTCTTACGGAATCCCACACATACTGTTCACTCAAATCTCGAATCTTGCTGGCGAAGTCATGTTTATGGCATACGTGTACAAATCTCATTAGAGCACCCACCTAATCAACCAAATTTAAATACATGGAATGGCTCGCAGCCTATCTTTTCCGTCAAATGACACTCCGTGTTTGCCAAGAAAAGGGCAAGTTTTGCAGTGTAACAACTCAGAACGCCAACAACTCATACTCCTTTATAAGCTGTATTTCTCTCCAAAAATACCGGATCAATCTGTGACCAACAAAATATACCTCCATGAAAATTAACCACCGGCACCCAGAGGAAGAAAAAATCTTGCCGATTTTAAACATGGAGAGGTTAAAAGTAATATCGCCACTCGGGCGTGGAGCCAAGGGCGTGGTGTTTCTCGTTAAAGAGGAGCCAAACGGTGAATTTTCGGCTTTGAAGGTCATTTTGAGGGATTTAATTACGAAAAAGAATGAGGGTAGTGATAACAAGAAGGAAATAGAAGGGGGCGAATACAAGAGGATTTATTTTGAACAGAAGGTTTTGAGTCGTTTGAACCACCCACTTTTGCCAAAATTGCGAGGAGTTTTGGCCACTGACAAAATTGTTGCCTACGCCATTGATTATTGTCCTGGTCGTGATCTTAATTGCTTGAGAAAACAACAAACCGAAAAAATGTTCTCTGTCGATTCTATCAGGTACGTACAAATTAAACTGTATATATATATATATAATACGTAGCTAATCTGATTCTAAATTTCCCTGTTCTGTTCTGTGAAAAATATAATATTTTTGGTTTTTAATTTTATTATAGGTTTTATGCAGCAGAATTGGTTTTGGCATTGGAGTATTTACACAATTTTGGGATAGCATACAGAGATTTAAAGCCCGAAAACATAATGATTCAAGAGAACGGTCACATAATGCTAGTAGATTTCGATCTCTCCACAAAACTCCCTCCAAAATCTCACCCAAATTCTCCAGGACCCGCCTCGGCACTCCCAGTTCGCATCAAACGACGCTCCCCTCTCCACCGATTTTGCAGCAGGGGAGTTTCTCCTGACGAGTCACCGGCTGAACTCGGCCACATCCACTCGGACTCCGACTCCGACTCCGACTCAACCAAGAAGTCTAACTCATTCGTTGGAACAGAGGAGTACGTGGCACCGGAAATAATTCAAGGTCACGGTCACGATTTTGCTGTTGATTGGTGGTCTTTAGGTGTCGTTTTGTACGAGATGTTGTATGGAGTGACGCCGTTTAAGGGGGCGAACAGGAAGGAGTCTTTTTACAGGATTTTAACTAAAAAGCCTGACTTAGTTGGCGAAGCGACGCCGTTGAGAGACTTGATTGGGAAGTTGTTGATCAAGGACCCGAAGGAGAGGATTGCAGTTGAGGAAATCAAGGGTCATGACTTCTTTAAAGGACTTGATTGGGATTTACTGTTGCAAATCTCAAGGCCACCGTATCTTCCTGCAATCCAGAATTGGAGTGAGGAGGAGGGTAAAAAAGGAATTAAGGAGATTGATGTGGAGATGTTTGTCCAAGGAGTTTTTGGTAGTTGCTGTGAAGTTGAAAAGAAGGCAAGTACTGTTAACGGTAGTGATGATGAGGAAACGAAGAATGCTGACAGTCATGAAGAGAATATTAACAAAAAGGTTTGGGTTAATGGACTCAATAACCATCCTTGCGAAGCAGAGAATTTTCTTGTTTTCTAACTTTCCTTTTGTTTAATTAATTGTAACATTTTTTTAATCAAATATACACATGAATATAGATATAAATTTTAAACATCTTAGTTTCAAATTGCACCTTTTTCTTTTATTGCATATTAAACAAAAACTAAGTCTCTATTAGAAGATCTTTAAAATGTATTTTTCATTTGGGTTTGGTGTATTAAAAAAAAAAGTAGTAACTTTACTTTTATTTAATTAATTGTAATATATATTTTTTTTTAAAAAAAAAAAATCAAATATACACATGAATCTAGAGATAAATATTTTGAACATCTTAATTCACATTGCACTTTTTTAAAAACTGAAACTAAATCTTTCCTTAAACTAATAAATTTTTTTGAATGTTGATTTCAAAATTTGAAAACTCAAAGGAGGAAGCAAATCTCATTATGAGATAATCCCATTTTTAGAGTATTTGCCAGGCTTTTCTTCTTCGTCAGGCATTTACCCTTTTTGGAACACGACGAGATGATCCCATTTTAGTGTCCCATGTATTACAAAGAAAAAGCTATTCTGATTTCCGGTGGCTTGACCAGTTTTGGTAGTTTTAATTAGAAAAGCTATATTCTTTTGGTTTTAATAAGATTGTTTATATTTTTATTTATATCTATCTCAGTTTGGTTATGATAAAAACTTTAAATTATATTTTTTAAAAAATATTTTCAATTAAATTTTATTTTATAAAAAATTGTCTAAATACAATTTAAATAAAATATTTTAGGTAACGAAACAGGGACAGTCATGGGTCTTACAATATGCTGCCTTGCTCGTTAAGCATACAAAAAATTTAAGATTCCGTTCACGTGCAATCAGCATTCTTAATTTCTTAAAATTCCGGTCTTCTCTCCCTTATAAAGAATATATTCATCAAACGCGGAGAAAGAAAATCGAAAAGAACGAATAAAAACGAAATTTCATTTAATGGACGGTTTGATGCAGGTTCCAAGCAATTATATGAAGTATATTGATCCATAGATTTAGATAGTTTACGTTGAGAAATTTTATAATACATAAAGAATAATTAATAGCATCTACAATAGTTATTTCATGAGCCTACTTTAAGGAGAGAGATAGACATACAACAAGAGAGAGAGAGAGAGAAATATGAGAGAGAAAATAAAAAAATTTAAACGGACGTAGAATTCTTCTTAGCAATTTTGATAGATATAGACGTAATTTTTATATTTTTTTATGTGTCTATCTCTCTTCTCAAAATGGATTCATAAAATAACTATTGTATATACTTATTAGTTACTCTTGATGTATTATAAAATTTCTCGTTTACTTATACATACTTCATTGCAACGTGTCCCTTTCATTCATTTCTAAAATCCTCACTCAACAATGTGAAAGAAAAAAAGCCGTCTTAAAGGAAATCAAGGTGTTTTTCTTTTTAACGACCATGGGATATATTTTTTTACCTAGATTATGTGTGAATCGACAATAATTTATTTTTTTTCAAGAAAAAAAATCCTATCATCGATGTATATACATTTTAAATTCTCATATGTTGACCTAATATTCAAAATCAATAAAAAGGAAATCAGGAAGCTTTGAGTCCCAAAATTTGTCATGGTTTCACTTTATTCAGAGTATGCTTCCAGCAAACAAATATTGATGAAATATTATTATATTAACAACATAAACAGCCGAGTTTGTTGGACCAGAACAAAAAAAACAACACAAAAGGATATTAGAGAACCCAACCAATGTGAAACTTACTTTGAAAGTAGGCAAATAACTACTACTAGGAATGTGCCTAGCCTAGCTAATTAGGATAATATTTAAAATATGGCACGTGAAAGAGAGGGAATTGGCTGTTTAATATCAACTACCATCAGCAAAAGCATTGCTTCAGGTCCATCCTTTATATATATATTCACGCGGTTCTTTTTTCTTTTTCAATTATACAATTTCGTGTAACATTTTTAGCAGTAAGAAAAATATCAAAATTAAGATTTAATTTCTATTATTTAAAAACGATTAGTTATAATAATTTTTTTTAAATTATAATATATTAAATTAAATTAACTTAAAAAATAACTTAACGATGATCGAAAGTTAAACGTATTCTAATACTGATTTAATTTAAAAAATAATAAATTTAATTTTGATTAATTTCAAAACAAACTCAAAAATACCTCACAACCTCACTTCTTATATATATATATATATATATATATATATATATAAACAATTTGGTGTAACAATTAAAGAGGAAAACCATTATTGTAAGAAGAGAAAATACCAAACATGTACATCACATCATGATTGTTATTGATGATCTAAGAAAAGAGAATCCGTTAAATACCTATAGCTCTTATAAAACAAGTAAATTAAACGTTATTCCCTCAAAGTTTTAGTAATGAGTTAATTAATTTTTAATTAATATTGATCATCTTTAATTTAATATTATTTTATTTTTTTAAAAAAATCATATTTTCATCATTATTTTTATTTTTCAAAATAAAAATAAATTAAAGAGAATCTGAAAAAAATTAAGTTACAATAAAATTTAAAAATATAAAAATTAAATAATTAGTTTTCAAAATAAAAAGGATTGATGAATTTATCATTCCAAACTTAAAAAAAAAAAAAAAACTAATTTGTAATTTACTCGTCACACAACCAAGCGGACATGAAAAAAAAAAAAAAGAAGAAGAAGAAAAAAAAAGATCAAATGCTATTAATGCAATCGATTGATATAAATTTGTGTGGCTACGTGAGAACTGCTGATATTCCGAAAAGCTATATATTGATGAGAGATCGGTGGAACACACATGCAGATGTATTCAGGGATACCCCTCTCACATGCATAAATTTAATTATGACATGGACCCTTTCAGTTTTGCAAATGCACTTCTCTCTTGTATCCTCTTAATTAATGGCATAAAGAATGAATATAAAAGAATAAATTTCTTTATTGTAAATTGTTATCAATTAAATTTGTAACAAAAAAGAAATTAAAAAATTTGTTCGAGTTTTACTAGATTCAACCTAATTTGACTAAATTGCATTAAATTGTTAGATGACAACAAATTTAAGTTTTTGAAACGTTCAAGGAAAAAAAAAGACATTAAGTTTTTCCAAAAAAAAAAAAAAGGTATAAATTTTTAAGGAAAGAAATAATATTTTTTGAAAAAAATAAATATTCAAATATTTTAAGAAATAAAATAATCCTGCATTTCTCGGTCATTTAAGCTTTTAAAATGTTTAGGAAATAATAAAATTATTTATTTTGAAAGAACAATAAACTTTTTAAGAAATTAAAAAGATAAAAAATACTCATCCATTAATTTTTTTTAACATGATCAAGAAATGAAAAAAATAAAAAATTTCTTAAATGTTTAACTCTTTCCATTTAAATATTTTTTTCCAAAGAAACTTTAGTTGTTTTAAAATTTTCATTCTTGAATAATTTTAATTTGTTAACATGCGTCAGAACTATAATTTTCTATTTTCTTTCAACATTTTCAATAATGTTAACGGTGAGCAATTCCATATATATATATATATATATATATATATATATATATATATATATATATATATATATATTCCTTACATGATTATAATTTTTATTTATTAATCATTTTCATATATTTTTTAAAATAATATTTTTGTATCTCTTATTTTTTTTCTATCGGTCAATTGAAGTGACTGAACCAAAAGGAACGTGTTGGATAAATAAAATAAGCACACTTAATTTCAGCACTAAATAAGATGGAGATAGTCAGATATCTCGTTCCAATATTGAGTAAATTATAAATTAGTCCCTCATGTTTGTTTGAGAAATGAATTAATTAATCTTTTTTGTTTTATAAATTAAATATTTTTTTATGTTTTAATTTTGTTAATAATTTTATTATTTTATTATTTTTTTGTTAGATTAGTGATTTTTGTTCAAAATCATCTGATTTATGCCTTATTTTTCTCATTCGACCATTTTTTCTTTTCAATCAAAAGAAGGATAATTTGATAATAAAAATTACTAATGTAACCAAAAAAATCGACAAATAGCTAGGTTATTAATGAAATTAAAACATGACAGGCTAAAGATTAGTTTTTGAAAGAAAAAAAAAGATTAATTTATTTATTTTTTTAAATAAGAGGGACTAATTTATAATTTATTCTTCCACTATTTGATAAGGAGAAGAATAAAAATAATCTAAACATTGAATCTTTGTAGAAATATGGGAATAGGAATCATTACCTACACTAGAGAACATGGATTAATTGTTATGACTTAGGGTTTTGAGAGTACTTCAAAAGGAATAATTTCACTCGTAACGAGAGGCCTGTGACTGGGTAGGTGGAGAAAGTTTTTTTAGATGGCGTTTGGTTCCTCTTTCGAAACAAAGATACAGAAACGGGAGAATTGAGAAGTAACCAGAAGGAACGGAAGACGAGAAAATTATTTTTTGAGACAGCCAAGCCCCGCAGGTTGTAAAGTGAAAGTTGTAAGTGGTAGATTTTTGAAAAGCTAATACAACAAATTTGTTGGTGCTTTCATCTTTCTCACATGATATGTTCTATTTAATAAAGGATACCTTGTGATAAAAATAATAAATTGGGATTTGGACAAAACCAATATAAATATATACAAACGCAAATTTATGTCATGAGTGAGAAACAACAAGGCCTTGGTCTCAAAGTGTCAAAAGACAATTATCCATCTCACATCATCCCAATGTCCATTGGACGACAACCTTGAAGCTTCGTTGCATTATTTCATTTCTTTTTGGCAACAAGCTAGACATTTGGTAAGAATTTTTTGATGGTGTCAAATCGTCATCATTTCATGTCACTAAACAACCGTGTGTGTTGGTAGTCAATGATAATAATCATCCTCTAAAACTTTGGCGATGTCAGCAGACATTTGAGATGATGGGCTTTTGTTGTCTTGACCTTATAGCCACCCAACAAAAATGTTGTTTTGACCTTTTAGCCACCCAAAAAAAATGGTTTTGCATATTGGGAGT